TTTTTTTCTATTAGCCATTTTGATATGATAGAATGAAGTAAAAAACAAATAACAAAAAATGAATATTAAGGAAATAAAACCATATATTAATTATTTATTTCAATGAATTTAATTTATTTGATTCTAATACTTATCACAATTGTATGAGTAATGTTAAAATTGTATAACTTCAAATAATGATGATTGTTTCATGAGAGAAGATAAGATGGATAAGACCAAAATAACTCAAATAAGAAATGGGATAATAATGGTGTTAATATGAGTATTATATGGATATAGAAAGAAAATAGATTTACAAAATAAATATACAAATAGAAAGAATTACAAGAAAAATTCAAAATTAGAGAAATATTAACAGTAAAATAACCACTGTAATATTAACAAACGAGTGGTACAAAAAGAAATAATAAAGATAAAAATAAAAGTAAAGAAATAACAATAATTTTTATAAATATAATTACATTTTGTTATTATTTTTATTAAAAATATAATATAATCAATTTCCAAAAAATAGAACTGAATAAAATACAGAAAAGTACTAACTAGAAAGAAAAGGAAGTTAGTAAGTATTTTGATATGGTAAGAAATTAATTGATATATATTGCACAATTCAAAATTCTTTTTAGAATTGGTAAATTTTTCAATTATTTAGTTATATTACTAATACTTAATAAATGTACTTTTTAATATTTATTATCACGTTAACAATAACAAAATAATTAAATGATTTAAAATGTATTTCATAAATTAAATATTTACTTTACATTTTCAATTTTTTGTCTATAAATTGTTTCCATATTTAAATTTTTAAGGTTTTTTTTTCTTAAATGAAATGAAAAAAAGAAATTTTTAAAAGAATTGGAGAAAATGGCAAACAATGAGTAATTCAAAATAAAAATTAATGGTGTTAAATTAATAAAGAAGATGTTTTTAATATGTTTAATGTAAAAAATAAAGAAAAATCGAAACAAGAATAGAAAATATAAAAAATGATGTTTTATAGGTTTTAAAAGATATAAAACATGAACCATTTAAAAAATAAAAAGGTCATAAATAAAATGATATAAGAAGAATTTAATTATATCTTTAAAATTGTATTATCAGGTGATGTCTTTTAATACTATTACAAATAATTCATTAACATTAAAAAATATATCACAAACTATTTCAAATATAATTAAAATACAATTATTTTGGGTAATAATAACAATGTTAAGTGGAATATCTTTAATGTTTATTACAACTTTTTTGTCTACACTTCAAAAATCATTGTACCATTTTATTTTATTAGTTTATATAATGTATATTTTATTCTTTTTATTAATATTTAGATTTGTTGATATTTTTATCAAAACAAGAGGTAATCTATTAAAATTACTATTTGAAAATGATGTTAATACAACAAATAACCAAAGAAATGACCAACAAAAAAATAATGAAAAAAAGGATAAAGAAAATCATATAATGAGAAAATTTGATGATTATTTTGGTATTGCAATATTATTTAGTTCATTTGTTGCAGGTATTTTTTATAGTTGTAATTATAAAAAGAAAAATGGAATAATAAGTATTAGTAGTACGATTTGTTATTGTTATTTATGTATTGGATGTATTATAATAGGTGGAATTTATTTTGTATGGGTTATATTCAATCAAAAAAGGATATTATCAAATATAGATAAGAGAAATAAAATTAAATCAATAATATATTATGTATTATCTTGGATACCATTTTTCAATTTATTTATTACATTAAATAAAATTCTTGAATGTAATAATAAAACAATTAAATATACTGTTACATTTGTTTTATTAATATTTCTATTATTTCCTTTTTGCTATTTTATCTATTACTTATTTAGTATTACCAATGATGCATCTGAAGGAGGGAAAGATATGATTCCTTATTGGGTATTATTTATCCTTTCTTTTAGTCCACACGATTTAAATAGAAACCAAGAAAAGGTTACTCAAGAAGAGAATGAAAGTAATGAGAATAAAATTAAACAAGAAGAACAAAAAACAGAAGAAAGTAAATTAAGACAAAAGAATGAAATACAAAAAAGAGATAATCAAGAATGTAGTCAAAGTAATAGGAATAAAAACAAAGAAATAAACAGAATAGTTCAACGTTCATACCTTTTAATTATCATTGTTATAATTGCTATTTTTGTAATTATTTACATTCTTAGTTTTATTACTGCTTATTTGAAAATATCTTTATATAATGGTACTGAACACCAAGAAAATATGGACAACAGCATTTTAATTAACCTTGACAATAAACAAAGTTATACATATGAAATATATAATGGAGTAGTATATAATAATTCATTTATTAATAAAACAAAAATATTTGAACAAGAAAGTCAACAAGTAGAATCACCATCGAGAGATGATGTTAGAAGTTATTCTCATCTTTGTGCTAAAGACGCTTATAGTATTACACCAAAAGAGTATGCATGTTTGAGTTATTTAGCGTATTCAAATCAATTAAATGAATCATATGAATATGAAAGAATTTCAGTATATCTTCAAGAAAAAGGTTGGTCAATTAAATTTCATGATGAAGAAATTCTTCATTATTTGGTAGCAAATAATACAAAAAATGGAGTTAAAGTAATTGCATTTAGAGGTACAAATTCAGTTTCTGATATAATCGGTGATATTCAATTATTTACAGAGTCAGTAATTCCACAAATATCTGTTATAATAACTCAATTATTTACAAAACAAAGTATGACAAAATTAAGTAATTTTCTCTCATTTTTTGGGTCAAAAGCTTTACCAAACAATCCTTTCTATTTAGTTACAATTGCAAAGAAAATAGTTGAAAGACATCAAAAGATGGAACCAAAAATACCAATTATACTTACTGGACATTCCCTTGGAGGAGGAGTTGCAAATATTGTTGGAAGTAATATGAGTTTATTGAGTTTTGGAATATCACCTCCTGGTATTTATTTAGGTAGAAAGGGTCTTGAATTGAAACAAAAAAATATTAATTTATATACTCGAGCTATTATACCTGATAGAGACATTATTGCACTACTTGGAATAAATGGAGGTTCTCAAATAACACTTCCTTGTTACGAACATTTCTGGAATTGTCATGGAATTGATACTTCACTTTGTTCAATTGGAGCAATGTGTCGTGAAAAAGAATTACTTCCTTTATGTTTGCCGAAATGGATCAACTGGGGATTTAATGTCTCTGAATGGTAATTGAAATAATTATTACACATATATTTATTATATTCACAATAGTTAATAAATGAGGTTTAATGTAGTACCGATGTTTGTTTTTTATATCAAAGAAAGAAAAGGCACCAAGAATGAGTAGATAAATAAATTCATTAAATTATATAATTCAAGTAACACTTATATTAATAAATTAAAAATTTCCTCTTTTCTTGTTTTATTATTTTATATAGTTGACGCACATTTTTACTTGATATTATGATGGCTCATCATAAATCATAAAATATTATTTCGGTTAAAACACTTAAGTTAAACTTGAGAATAGTTATAAGAATAAAAATTTCAAGTAATGAAAATTCATTTTGTTGTTATGATTATTGAATTTATTTATTTCATTTTCTTCATTAGTATGTGTTTCGTTTTGTTGTTTATTTGTTAGTATGAATTAATTATTGATTTTTCTTCTATTCTTTTATCAGTTTTGTTTGTGTAAAACATTAAGTCTTTCATATTTTTGACAATGATTGTTTATAATGTTTTGTTTAGTTGTAATTTTATTGTCTTTATTCTTCTTACTGTGTCATTGTTGATTATTTTATTATTATTACAATATTTGTTTTTACTTATTTTATTTTTCTGTCATTTCTTATTTTCTCTTATATTTCTATTTATTTTTTAATATAATTTATTTAATATTCTTATCTTGACATATAGCAACATCT